ATAATCAATTTTGGTTTCCAAGCTATAAAAGATTAACTAAATTTTGTGAAAGATAATGGGACCCTCATAGTGCAGTAGAAATAACCGAAAATATAGCTTAAGGTGGAACTAATTGCAACAGAAAAGATTCTTGCTGTGAATGGTAGGTAGTATGCTTCTAATCAACATACTAAAAATATACATCCGTATTGTGGCGCAAAATACGTTTTTTGGCCGCCATCTTGAAAAAAAGTGTCAAAATTTTAATATTCGTAAAAATAACTTTTTGGGTATCATATTATAGGAAATTTAATGCTGAAAAATGTTATAATAGTGGTTATAAGCACTATTTAGAAATGCGATCGTAGTACAAAATACCCCCGCCGCAGCAAACCTGCAGATGAAACGAATTTCCATTTGTCTTAATTGATTTTCAATTAAATCTAGTAATTCAGTTTTAAAATATTTGTAAAACTAAATATAGAGTTCTACTGGACCGATTTTATCAACTAATGGTTCATTGGAAAGCAATTCGTGTGGATTTACAAATATTTATGAAAGTTTGATTTTTTTTAAGATTTGCTAGGTGAAACCCGTCAATGTCGACAATAATTAGCCTAGGTACTGTTGAGGTTGCAAACAAAATCTTTTTAACTATAAATCGATGATAGATAACTGATGATAGATCACCAGATGATAGATAACCATTTTTAAACAATTTGGGTCGTTTATGATTTAGCAGTGTGCTTTAGGTACGTCCGATCTCAATAATCAATAATTCCAATGGAATCTGGTTTTTCACTGAAGATTTAAAAAAGATAAAAACATGTAGGATAATGTAACTGCTTGACCTACATTTGAAGTAAAAATTCCAATTTAATTGTTATCGTGAGGTAATACATTTGATAGATTAATGATGACAAATATGTGCTTACATAGCTTTGAGACCACAATTATAAAAATTGGTCCGGTAGAAGAGCCAAACTAAATCGAAAAAAACTAATTTAACTCCCGTAAGTAATGTACAGGGAGGCAGTTTGTGCATAACTCAAAATATACGTCAAAATGAGTGCTGATGCTTAATAGCAAATCTATGGTGCGTCCATAGCTTTAGTTTAAAGCCGAATTTACACTATGTAGCAAAACCTGCTATATAACTTTTGCTATATAACATTGCTTTATAGCTTTTGCTGTATGAAAAATTTACAAACAATTTTAGTGATTCTGGTGCTCGTGCTATATGTTATATGTAGCACAACCTCATTCGCATTCCGTATCGAAATGTGCGCTGAAGAGACATTGTTCGTGGCAGCTATCGTGGTGATCTTGGAAGTCAGAGAGAGAGAGAGACAGACAGGAGCGAAGATTTTAGCAAGTTTTAGGTTTGACCGCTTCTTGCTTCGAGAAATAAGTACAGTGTAGCAGATTTATTACGAGATCTTAATGATGATGAATACCCTGACAATCCATAATTAAAACGCTAAATAAGGCGACGGTAAATTCAAAAACGTTTTACGTATGATCACAACGCCGGTTGTCCACGGAACTGTTAAATTAAGTTTATAATATCAATAGCCCCAATAATATCATCCCGATCCTAAGCACTGCCACTTTCCGTTTCCAGTCCTTCCATTGTAAACAAAAATCGCTGAGCAAAACCGTTCAGCGTTACATATAGCAGATGCTAGACGAAAAATATATGTATATTATTGCTACATATGGCAATGTTAGATGTAGCACGTATTTCTTTTGATATTTACCGACTCCCGATGGATAGCACAATTTTAGCTATATATAGCAGGATCTGCTACATATAGCAGTGTTATATAGCACTTTTGTAAAGTTACTTTTTCTACTTCTAGCAAATGTTATATAACATTGCTAGATGTTACACAAATCTGCAATGTAGCAGGTTTAGCTACATAGTGTAAACCCGGCTTAAGGCCAAAATTATGAAAATCGGGCTGGTAGAAGAGCTAACCCGACTCGGAAAAGAAAAACCAATTATTTTTATAGATGGCAATAATTGATTTACAGTACCAGTATGCATAATCTAACCATACGAAAAATGAGTTGATAATTTAACAGCTTATTGTTATATTGTTATTTAATTAAATTGTCTTTGATTAAATATTGTTGTTAACAATTTGAATTTGTGTTTAAAGTGATTTTCTTATGTTAAGTGTGTGATTCTAATGTTATGAGCTTAATATGTACCAAATATTAGTGAGTAAAGTGGTGTATGGATTTCATAACCATTATTTTACTAGAGACCATTGCATTAATTTAACCACAATGGGCTCTGTTGCTAATCTATTAAATAAATAACATTAGGTTTAACGAAACTAGTACCAAGGTTTGCTGCTACAAGGAAACCAATTAAGTGCGTTTTTACTAAAATATTATTTGTTTAGTATAAAATAAATAAATCTTCAAAGTTTTATCAAAATATATCCATAAACAAGGAAACTACAACTTTTTACCATATTCTCCATAAAAATAACATGGGGATTTTAAATTTCCAATTTTTTAATTTCCCCCGTTACTAATAATTGTACAAAACCCCTATGATATACTTAACTATTTGTTTTTTAAGCTCTTTAAAAAGGTATAGAGAGAAATTGGGAAATTTTACGTTTTAAGGGTCAAAAATGAAAAAAAACGAATTTTAAAAATATAAAATAACTTATAAATAAAAAAACTTTTCAAATGCAACGTTTTTAAACGCACCTTTTTTCGCCCATAGTGCATCACTGTTAACAGTATATTTTAAATTCAACCATTATATTCTTTTCCAGCATGAAATGTTCTATAATTTGATAACAAACCAGATTTTTCAACAATAATTTAAAATTTTAAACTTTTTTTAAATGGCGACCAAAAAACCGTATTTTGCGTAACAGTACAAATGTATATTTTTGGTATGTTTTTTATAAGTGTATTACCTACCATTTCTAACTGGAATAATTTCTGTTGCAATTAGTTCCACCTCAAACCCTATTTCTACTGCACTATCACACAGAGCTAAAGAATCGTGTTGGAATCATCATACACTCAATGGTTTTATTGTATATTATATAGCATTTATTCAATAACTTATTGGAGTGGTAGCACAAATGGAGTTTTGACATTTTAATGTACAAACCCGAAAATGCACATCCATAGATTAAACATACTCCCTTAGGCACATCTTAGAATGAAGAGAAATAATATTATACCGAAAATATATTTGTTATAATATTAACGAATTAACGAGTAATAGAAAACAATGCATTGCTCCATACTACTGATCAAATTCATACTTAATAAATATTTATTAGCCTTATTTGTATACAAATCTAATTTTACAATGTTGGAACTTAATTAAATTAACCCGCATTTGATAAACAAGTTATTTTTAACAAAAGATGGTTTCAACCCACATTAATTGGACAAAATATCATTTATATGCTATTATTGCAGCATTATTAAATATAAACATAACGTTATGCTCAGAAATTAATTGAGTATTTGATACTCCGTTAAGTAAAAAATTGTTTTGCATTATTTTACTGTTTAAGAAAATGTCAACGATGAATTTTTGCTACAAGTTAACATTTAAAGAGTTTTTCAAAATCTATGCCGCAATCTATTCCATTGCTACCAGCCATTCTTGCAAAGTTATGCTGTGTTATTAGTTTTCTTTTATACTGTCAAGGCAAACATTTTGGAAGAATTCGAATAAGAATCTTCGTGAAGATTGTTGTAAGTTCTTTACAGACCCGTGAACTAATCCCGTTACCGAGTCATTGACATCACTTTTGAGGCATCTCCGGGTTTATTCAGGTTCATTTTGATTTTATATCAAATCAAAATTGACTAAAACAAAGAACATTTTCCAAAAATGGTTTGTAGGACAGTTTTGCCTTTTTTGACGAATGTAAAAAATAATATATGGTAGCCATTATTAGTGAAAAAATTACTTACACGAGCGTAATTAGATGTTTACATAGTACATCGTGTAAACATAATCTATTGCTCACACTTTCACATCTTTATTGCACATACTTTCGGAAACAATTTTCAGTTTACTGAAAACAATTGTTAATATATCATTTTGTCAAAACTAAAATAGCAAATACACTTAATATTTTGGAAGAATATTATTAGTATAACGTATGCATAAGTGAATACGAATTAAAGCTATAAAGCTACTAGGTAGTAGAAAGTGTGCAATAAAATAAATAATATTATTTTAAATTTCTGTGTGTTCTTATGCCTTTGGTACGGTATTTATACTGTTTTTGTAAAGGTACGTCCTGAACACTGACCTCTTTACTATTAATCATTGACCTTATGTTAGAGAGAACCATTAATTAATACCCAAATGACAAAACGTCCAGAATGAATCTCTCTTGGGATTGAACCGTTGTTGACCTTCAGGTTTTAAGGTGAACATTAAAGTTGAACACTTGGCTACCCAGACAATAATCAGCTATTACACATGTTTTTACGGAGTTAAATATTACATAATAAAGAGACTAAACGAGAAAAACCTTCGTCAGGTTGTTAAGGGAAACTACGGCACAAGTCAATCTAAAAAATAACTGTAATTGTTGTTGGAGGCCTTTCAATTTGAACGCTTTGCCTCCATAAAAAGTCTCTTGATCTACCATGGACGAAACCAATTCCAGTATGTGGTAATTAATAAGAACGTAAACTCGGAATCTTGCAGCCTTGATTCATTTTACATTTCAGTAATTACAGATTTTCTAGGGGAAAACAGTCGTCATTTTGAGCTCACTCAATGTAATATACATGCCAGTGCAGTGCAGTCAACATTAAACTGTGTTTCAAATAAAACAAATGATTACAAAGAGAGTTGAAAGGATGTACCAGTGTTACAGTGTTTGACCATAAGCACCAGGGTTCATTGGTGTTATATTGGCTTACAAAGTAAGTGCTATTGGACATTTCATAGTAATACTCTATAGTATGTTTTATACAGTTGTAAACGGTGGAGTTTTATTTGAAACAATTACCTTTTGTGTTGTGTTGTTGATGTAACCTGAAACATAAACAAAATATAACTAAACGAGAAATTCTAGATATTCAGTTGGTTTTTTTTTTTCTTAGCAGCTTGGAAGAACATTTAATTGACCTTGTGACTGAAAATTCTAAGAATTAACCACAAAATTTAAAACAACTATAAATCAATATTTTACTAACTACACACATTTTCACATTCTAATTTTGGAACCAGTACCGATTTACATTATTTTATGTCTCAATTATCTATATTTTCAGAAACACAACTAATACACACCCATACAAATAATATACATGGTTTTCGTTTTGGTTGAATTAATTAGTCCTCAGCAAAAAGTTTCAAAAAATATTTGAGCCGGCCTAGTTATTTCAGAAGTCATAGCCACAAAATCTTTGGATCAGCGTTGACAAATCAAATGTTCTATTACGGATATTATCATATAAATGAGATATTGTTAGAATCATAACTTTTTTAATCATAACATAAGATATTTACATTCAGTAGAAATTTATTGCACATTAGAGAGTGTATAATATTTAATTTTAAGAAGCTAATAGAGTTTTAGTTACATGGATACTTTATAACGGTTAATGAAACAAGTCATGATTAAACTGGCTATTGTAGTTCAACAACACATAATGATACAATATATAATAGGTTGTTTTTAGCCTTGGTCCAAGTGTAAATCGTTGTAACTAGACCAACATGGAACAGCACTCAGCTCCTTAATTCTTTCCCATTTTCCTACGATATCAATAATAAACCTTGACATTGCAGTTTTAAACATGGATAAGTAAGACATTTCAACTAAAATTGTCCTTTTATGTAACACTAAATAATTTATTATTGAAACAATAATGTACGATCATTAATATGGAACATATCTTGCAGGATGGAGTGCACACCACTAATGTAACTAATGCTAGATTGAAATAGACATGGACTAAAAGTTAACTTAATTAAGTTTCAACTAGAAACTAGCAATGAAAATAGCAGTTCATTTATTTTTATAACAATCTTGTATTGTTAACGTTTTTGTGAATGCTACAAAAAAGATATGATATTTTTAAATGTATACTGGGTTGAAAGTATAACATCCTTTGAGGAAGGTTAAGCTTAAATTACCAATAATTGGTCTGATAATTATTATGACGCGCTTATACATACACATTAGCATGAATGATTAAAAACAACTCCCAAAAAAGTTATTAGGATGAGTGAATCATGAGTCATAAATTACTTTGTGGTCTGTATGGTTAAAAAAAAAAAAAAAATATCAAAGAAGGTTTTGACAACAAATGTTACTGAAACGTATATAATAGTTTTGAAAGCAAAGTAATCAGGCCAACAAAAGGAAGCCATTTTCTGTGAGTTTCTCTTGAAAAATAAATCCAACTTAAAGTGACATTTTGTTTATGCATTTTTATGTTATATTTGAAGTTTTAAACCTTTGCTTCTTTTTCTTTCTTAGTTATATTCATCTACGATTAAACCTTTAGTTCATAGAATGCAAAGTGTATCAGAAAAGGGATTATTACAGTTGGTTTTTAATGTTTCATTTGATTTAATATTTGGAACTCATAATTAGATTTCAATTTAATCACATTTTTAAGTCCAATACGGAAGAAGTATTATAAAAACATGATTTCGGTTGAATGGGTCGTAATTAAGTTATTTGTAAGCATACTAACTCAAGCTTCATTTATATTAATACCTTGCTCATTGTATTTCTCTATTAAATTAAACCAATGCTGTACATTTCAAAGTATTATGCAGTTAAACGATTTAAACATGTATAATGTATAAATATCTTGAATAAGGCACTCATAATAGCGATATAATAAATTTCTCCAGAGCAATTATAAATTTGAAACGATTTATGGATTTTAAACAAATAACTCATCACAATTATGAAAATAAATTACAATTTATTACTTCTTTTAAAACTACGATAGTATTTTCGTCCAATAAGATTTTTCCACGAAATATAAAACCATCCACTCAAAAGCGAAAACAAATTGGATGAATATTCAAATTAGCCCTTTGTTCATCAAACAAAAGCTTCAAGAGGAGTAGGCTCTCTTAGAACTGCAATCTCGAATTTAATGACGATTAAGAAGGGAAATCACGTCTTTATTAACAATACTGTAATTATCTATATATATAAAAGGCAAAGCCCTCACTGACTCACTGACTCACTCACTCACTCATCACTAATTCTCCCACTTCCCATTTACCTAGGAGGCTGAAATTTGGTACACTGATTCTTTAGGCATTAAATAGGCAAACTAAGTTGTTTTTATTTTGTTCGGACTCTCGGGCACCGCCCCAGTGGCTCTGGAGTTTCCCATGTTAACCTTATGAGTACTCATATTTAAATGGAACTAGTTGCTCTGCCCGTGCTTCGCTACGGGGCGAGAATGCAGAAAAGAACAATTCGGTTTTACATTTTTTCAATTAAACAAGTTGGTTCTGTTCTATTATTTTCAATAGCATTAAAGTTACAAGGATTACCAACAGCAGCACCATTATTTTCTTTTTATTTATGACAACAGCTAATTTGCAACCAAAAGGTGAGTGAGCGTAGCGAACGAACTTCAACCTGGAGGCGAGTTAGCGTAGCGAACGAGCTAACCTGAAGGCAAGTGAGCGCAGCGAACGAGCTCCAACATAAAGGTGAGTGAGCGTAGCGAACGAACTTCAACCAGGACGTGATTAAGCTATGCGAAGTTGCGAACAAGCTCACTTATGAAGTTAAACGGGGCGAAGCCCGCGGGTACAGCTAGTTAAGTATACAACTAAGTATATGTGACTAGTGTTGCTGTACGATTGATTTGCATAATTTAAACGTACGCCTAAGAAAGAAACACATTTTTTTATAAAATATAGTTTATAATTTTTAATATTTAATTTATTGGCTATTAAACGACATAAAAGCTGAAAAAAGAGTTAAATTAAATGCCATAATAATTGAGGGATTCATTAATTTTGTTTGTAAAATAACTGTTACCATGCGAAATATATTAGGAATAAATCGAGAGAGCGTTATACTCTCTGAGCTGTGTTTACCAATGTCAACAACGTCAATTTGAAACAATAGCTCTCTCTATAGCGAGACGGCATATAATAGAAATATATTTTGTCCATCAAAATAAACACAAATAGTACGAAATTGTATGTGAAAGTAAACCAAATTTGTTTATACTATGAGAGCATTTTTAATCGAACTGAGTAACCAGTTTTAATATGTAAACAAAAAGTGTCATATGCATGAAATTACTCTATGTGAGTTGAGTAAAATAAATAATATAGTTTCTGAAAAACCTAGGGAGTATATAAACCCCTCCAACACACTTGGAAACATTTCTTAATTTATGTATTTAACAGTGTCGCAATTTTCATGGTATTTGAAAATGTCGAGGTTTTATTAGACGTGTTATAACTCCCATAAGAGAAGAATTGGTACGAGGTTAGTCGAAATGCCTTGACTCGGTTATGCAAACATCAAACAACAGAACTCGTCTTTTACTTTTTGGTAGCAATTTTTTGACAAAAGAGTTGAGTTTAGGTAAATCAATGAACCAGGTAGTGAAAAATCATATAACAATTGTAGGCCTACATATTACAAGCATTCCTTATGTTTTACAACTATTTCTATTCAGCTAAATGTTATACCAAGTAGTCATTTCATCGTATTACAAAATCTAAAGCATGTGTTTATAATGATCAACGTACTTTAACGTTTGAGATCGCTGACATTTTCTGAATGTTTATTTTTATTTTACGGTACCTTTTCCAATGAACACTTTACTATTTGGCTCAAATATGAAGTGAGCTGGTCTAGTGCCCTCAGTCTTCGAAGTCCCAGGTTTGAATTCTCTCAATCAGCAATTAAATTAATCACCAATCGGTGTATATACCGTAACCATCTACACTTATCCTGAGTGTTAAAACGCGATACTGACTCTTCTAAAAGGGGTATACTTCACAACAACAAATCAAAAGGAAAACACTAACTGCAAAATGTAAACAAATAAAACATCTGATGAATTAAATTAATACATAAATAATCATCTAGAGACAGTTATTTTCAACATACTCCCACCTTTTGAGTCTTAAGTTTCCATTATTTAAAGACTCAAAACACATATTATCATATTAAAAGTTCAGTCTTTTTGGTAACTTAATTTGTTTTCCTCGTTTTCTAAATTTAACTTTATTTACAACTTTTCCATTTGAACTTTCTTTATCTTGCACTTCTTCTACTTCTTTTCCGTTTGAACTTTCTGAGTTCAAAATTGCTACACTTGATGATATAGACTTTTTAAATTCATATCCAAAAGCGTCTTCATCACATTCACAAATCTTATTAATTTCAGATTCCATCTTGACAGTTACAGGATCCTCTATATTAGGAATGTCTATACTACACTTGTCAGAAATAGGTGTTAACAAAGATGTTACAGTCATTACACTTGATTTACACGTCACTCCTTTTACATTTACTTTCCCCATTAACACCCAACCAAGTAAGGTTTCCATTGCAACTAAATCATTTGTCAAAACATGACGTTTCCCTGTAAACAACTTTCCACCAATATCAGATCCAATCAAAACTTCAATTGGCCCATCTACAGTGTCAGAAACATTAATACCAAAAGACTGCAATTCGTTTAACCAAGGACCCGCTTTGATTGTTGAAATGTTATTACATATCACATCTTGATCTAATACCTCAAAGTTGCAAAAGTAAGTATTACCCAAATCACTTAACCTTACTTTATGTCGATTGTGTTCAACAGCATTTGTTGTTGATCCACCAAACAATGCATGATTAAGGCTTTCCTTACCAAATGATACATACCCCATTTCTTCTGCAGTTTTCTTCAAAATGTAGGACCTTTGAGAACCAGAGTCAAAAATGACACGTGCTGCTCGTTCTTTATTACCTCCTCTAATATTGACACGTACAGTTTGTAAAAATACTTCAGTGTGTGCATTATTAGCTAAA